GAGAGAGAGAGAGAGAGAGAGAGAGAGAGAGAGAGAGAGAGAGAGTTGACTTGCGAGGACGTCGCTGAAGGCAAGCGAAGACGCCTCAGCCTTTCAGGTTGGTTGAGTTATTTATGCTCATCAGTTCTGTTGTGGCACGTCTCCTATTTGTGCTTTACGTGTCGGTGTCCTTCCGTTCGTTTCTCTGATTTGGTCTTCGCTTTACTCAGATCGGTTCATTAAGACGTTGCTACTCCAACGCCTCGCACAAATATTAATTTACGGTCYTGAACAGCGGAAATAAGAACATTAGCAAGCAGTTTCTCTGTATCGCGGGCAAAATTTCTCTCTTTTTTTTCGGTGACAAACCCGTAACGGCCAGTGGTTGTTCGAAAGGATGTTTTCTGCTTCTTTCCAGTGTTAAATTCGACGCATAAAAAGGAAAAACACACACACAACTGTGTGTGTGTGTGTGTGTGTGTGTGTGTGTGTGTGAGAGAGAGAGAGAGAGAGAGAGAGAGAGAGAGAGAGAGAGAGAGAGAGAGAGAGAGAGAGAGAGAGAGAGAGCAGGGCTTGCCGCACGCAGACGAAGCCATAAACGAGACGATTTCATCTTCGCACAGAAGGTTCATCCATTTACTGTAAATAGTAGGGGATGTATTTGCCCACCGCTTGTGGCCAGATGCAGTCTTTCTTTTTCCGTTTCGTTTGCCGTGCCGGCGAGACCCACACACACACACACACACACACACACACACACACACACACACAGAGAGAGAGAGAGAGTTTGGCTGAAAGGAATCGCAGAAAGTCTTTCTGCTTGCGTGATGGGCAGTTCTTCTTGGCTTTCCCTCTTTTTCTCCGTTCCGTCCTGCAACCCGTAGAAGGAAATGTTTGACAATCGTTCTGCTGTCATAATAGAAGCCTGAATCAGAGAAGCAGCAGAAGCTATCGATGAACCTTTCACTCCTATAGAGCACAGTAAGGAAATTTTAATCCGAACAAAAAAAGGAAATCCACAAGTCTTAGAGCTTTTCTCGTTTCTGAGAGGGCGATGTGTCGAAGGGAGAAGTGGTCGCGAGAAACGCCCACCTACCTCTCCTGCCTGAAGTCTATCGGCCATCGGCTGAGGAGTATTCTGAATCTTTTGTGAAGTTTTGTCGTTTCTGTGTGAGGGCGATGTCGAGGCGAGGATATGGCATGCTACCAGGAAGAGTACCGGAGTATGGGCATCGTCACACCACTGTCGAATTGTGTAGATACCTAGGCTACCACAGTGGCCCGGGGGGTCACTTGCCCGGCCTGGCCAAAAAGAAATTAATAAAAATAAAAATAAAAATATTCTTTTTTAAATTTATTTTTTATTCTAAATTTGGTGAAGAATTTCGATGTGACCCTGAGGCAAAAGTTGTTCAGTTTATTTTTCGGCATAACAGAGTTTTTTTTGGCGGATTTTTTGGATTTTTTTTTTTTTTTTTTTTTTGCCTGGGACCTTCCCTGGTCCTTGCATGGACTGGCCACTCGGGACCCGGGCGGCCCGGCTGGTAGCCTAAGTAGATACGGAAAAAAAGTGCGAGTGCATCTTCCTGTAGAGAATGGCCAGATGCATCCACTACTATGAATAGCGATGGATGCATCTAACCAGCTTCTGGGGAAGATGCATTCGTCATTTTTTCGTCTCGACAGTGGTGTTGCGAGGCTCTTTACGGTGACAATGGGAAGGGGGAGAGAGTTGAGGTTTGGGAAAGGGGACAGAGAGGGCGACACGTGTCAGCCCTCTGCTCTGCCACGTGGGCATGACGGGTAGCTGCTAAACAGACCGTTGAACTGACGGTCTTGCGCGCGCGAGAGAGAGAAGGGATAGACTGTGAGCATATTTCTCTCAAGGACTTCAATTTTTTTGCTTTGATGGATGTGACCGCGATTTCCAGCTTTTTTCTTGATGCATCTGATCGCAAATTACGTCCAGAAACGATGCAAACAAGTGTCCTAGTGTGAGTGAGCAGGTCCCCACAGCCCTAGGAAGAAGACTCAGAACGCAATCTTTGCTTGAACGGCAAGCGCATCAGCGTTTGTCCTCCTATATCGCAATAGAGATCGCAATTATCGAGATCAGATACGTGTTTTTTTTTTTTTTTTTTTTTTTTTTTTTTTTT